GGTTCCTTCATCGGTTTTCCCTGTGATCTGCATTTACATAAGAAATGTGTACAAATCTTTGTCTATATTCAGCTAATGTAAAAAAAAAAAAAAAAAAAAAAAAAAAAATTTTGCAATTGTTGTGTTTGGATTAAATCAGAAATGAAAGTTTGTTCACCTGATAAGTCATTAAAAATCATGACAGCGACAGATGTAAACAGTTACATGACATATATTCGTATTTCAGTCGCGTTGCCAGCGCTCATCATCCATCAGAGGAGATATCGGCATCTTAATCAGACGTTGGAGTGACCAGCCTCTTATGCTATCTGTGCGGCGTTTTGAGAGAATTGTAGTCACCGATTTTACAGAAGAGCTTTGGATTCAACACTTTTGAATGGCAGCTTTTTATGAACTGTGTTTGCCATGAGAGCTCTGGTGGAGGCGGCTGCAAACTGTCCAGAAACAAAAACAAATCATCGTCCCACTGCTACTTCCTGCTGTCGTCTTTTTCATGGTTTTTGCAGGTAGCAACATCCGACTGATAACCACATGACTTGTGATGCAGAAAGTGTTTCCGTTGCAGTTTTGAGACATGCATCTGTTTTAATACAGTCAAAAAAAACAAAAACAAAAAAAACAAAAACGCCACTTCCCAGGACAAAAACTTTATCAAAAAACATGAAATTTTTCTTTTCAAAATTTAAACTTTATGCTGGTATTTCCAATTCTCACCTTCCTGAGGTCTTTGTAAGTTTTCCTGTTTATCATTAAACGTTCACTCTTCCTGTTTGCATCTTCAAATGCATTCAGGCCCATTTTCCAAAATCTCTGATTGCTTTTCTCTGACAGTTAAAGGAAAAGGAAAAGGATGGAATAAAATTGCTGCAGCTAAAATTAAATTTTTATTCATACTATTAGCTTTTGGTATCTCTGCCAATTTTATATTTGTCTTATCATTTTTACTTAATTTTATTCCTATTTTGTCATTTATCTACCTGTGATGTGTTTGTTGTGAAGCACTTTGGTCAGCTGAGGATGTTGTAAATGTCTGATATAAATAAACGCCACAGAAACACAAATTGCACTACATTAAATTGGCCAAATTTCACAATGCACAAGACAATAAATTAGATAGATTGCTGGTGTTTATATATGTAACAAAACCGAAGCAGCAGTCAGTGAATAAAAAGCGAACACTACTTCTCCCTGGGCACTTTTTTCACATCTCTGAGGATACAAAGGAAACATTGCTGAAGGCACCAAAATCTGTCATGATGCCAAATGTTTTCTTTGAAGAAAAAAAAAAAATCAATGCATCACATCGTGCCAAACTTCCCTCTGAGCATTTTTCCCCAACAAAATCTCAAAACTCCTTTCTTCTCTTCCTTTGTGCTTAATAAAAAAGAATCGCATATTAAACTAGTTGAACTTTAAAGAAAGTCCACAGATGATGAGGAGAAACACAAACACAGGTGGCAGATACAGCGAGAAGCTGCTCCCCCCCTGCGCCTCAGAGAAGAGGCTAATTAAATTTTCATGTCGATAATCAGGAGCTAATCCACCGTTAATTGTGCTTCTCTCCAACGCAGTGGCTCCCTCATGGGATCCGACGTTATGCCCACGCAGCGTTTCGTTTGCTTAAACGCCTCTTAGATTTAATGGACTCTTCCATAAACTCATCCTCAGCACCTCCTCACTCACGACCACACAGAAGCCTGAGCTCATCCATCAACAATAATCCCTTCAATGATCTCCATTTTATCTTTTCACCACCCTCCTCCTCCTACTTCTCACCCACGTCCCTACAAAGGGCTTAATTACTGGTGTGAAGTAATTATTTTCTTTATTAGTGAAACGTAACATCTGTTTCAGGTCTTTTTAATTGTACCTATAAAACCCGTCCATTATTTCTGTCCCTTTGGGAAAGGCCTGGGCTGCTTGTTGCTCCCTGCGGACTCCCTCCGCTCCTCATTCAGTTCTCCGGCTGGCGCTTCCGACACGCAGAGCCGCCGTCGTGAGCTTTCACGCCGACTTCAGAGGAGCTGAGCTGCTATTTCGGAAAACGAAAACAGGGTATGTCTCCAAGCTCCCCTGAAGGCTTCAGTGTTTTTGGATTTGTCATTAAACTCTAAAGGAGCATATTCCCAAAAGCAGCAGAGAGCCTAAGGGCCGCAGGGAGCGTGGGAATAGAGGAAGGAGTGAGATTCCTGAAGTTCTAGGGAAATTTTGTCCTTTTATTAATAGACTTTGGTCCCTTTGAAATTTTATTAGCCATAAAGTTGACGGTATGTTGTGCGGCTTCTACAGCCCTGCAGAGCCTCTTCGCCTTAAACAAACTGCTTATTTCTCAGAGCATCCGTGCAATTCAGCTCCAAGGTTTCTCCTGGCCCTCCGCGGAGGGCAGCAGCTACACAAGAGCAGGTGTCATCGTCAAACTGAGACCTCCGTGGAATAAATAAATCTATAAAAACCTCACATAGTCACCGACTTCCAGCAAACACTGACCAGTTAGCCGAGGACCGTCCGGCTTCTGGAGCTCTGTCCTTTTAGCGCTCTCCCTCTTTATTTTTATGGTTCCTGCACCTTCAGGAAATGACCCTTTTATAGGGTCAACACTATAAAAGACTTGTTTTTTTTGGGAGTGGTTAGTGGACGAGTGTGTGTGTGTGGGTGTGTGTGTGTGTGTAGTGGGGGTATAAGTGTTGAAGTTACTACCGGTTCGTCTTTGGTGCCAAAGAAAGAGACCTGATGAGGCTAATAGTCTTCTCGTCCAATATATCACATAGCTGTGAACTCTGTGACCTTTTTTGTCAATAGGAGAACTTTTCTCTGGAGTGTGTGTGTGAGGCCGGGTGGACGGGGCGTGCACGGCTATCCCTGTGTGTCCAACCAAGAGTGCACATGTGGACATCTGCACTGTCATACCTCAACGTGTGTGTTGATGTGCAAGGCAGCTAACGCACGCAGAGTTTCATCTCTGCTGGATGGAAAAGGTTCTTCTAATAGTTTTAATTAAAGTGCATGAGTGAAAAGGATTTGTTACTGAGGTGAGAAGAGACAGGCTTGACATCTAAACATGGGGTATTTGGCTAAAATCTTTCTTTAAACTGTTACTTACTTATGATGTAGTTGAATTAGTTAGTTGATTTGTGCAAAAATTATGTCACGTAAATAAAAGATGATTCCTGAGCAGAAAAGTTAATAAAACTGTCTACATACATAGAAAGTCCACATTTTGGACAAATTTTTAAAGGTTCAGATACACAAAATATTGCACAAAATCTTCCCCCTTTAAATCTTCTGTCGCCACTTTTTGTTACGCTTCTATGTTTCAGATCATTGAGTAAATTTTAGCGTCAAAGGCGGCCTGAGTTAATTCAAACCAACAGATTCCAATGAATATTTATAAAAGAGACACACACACACCTGGTTCAGCCTCTGCTCCCTCCCATTCACCAGGTATGACACTGAAATTAAGATTGTGTTCACTTTCACTAACCTCACCCAGACAGGAAGTGTCTGAACCGAGAAATGACCCAAACAGAATCTGTCTTACAACATGAAGTAGGCTGAACGATGCCAGACAGAAACTCATCATGAAACGTTAAACAAACATTGAGTTTAATCAGAAAAGCTTACAAAGCCGTTCCTAAGGCTTCACTGAACGACACAGAGAGCCTTCATCCACAGTTAGAGAGAATGTTCAACAGTGATGAACCTCGACTATAAAAATTACAAGAGGAGAGAATCAGCAACTCATCTGGAAGCTCAGAAAAAGTCTGAGAGGCTGCAGAGAACTTCATGGCCCATCTCATATTTGCAAACATCTTCAACGTTTATTAAGAAAATATTTTGTGGATTGGAGAGACAAATGCCTTTTTTTGGTTGTTGTTGTTGAAAGGTGTGTATCCTGTTCGTCTTCCATGACATTAAGACGATGTTTCAGAAAGAGAACATCACGGCAACAGTCAAACATGGTGGTGGCAGTGTGATGGTGTGGGTCGATTTGTCGCTGCGGGATTAGTAAATAGAGGAACCATAAACTTTAGCAGAAAATCCAGAAGGAGAACGTCAGGCCATCAGTTTGTTGCTTTAAGCTCAATCTTAATGTTAAGTTATAATAACGACACAAGGAAACTTAAAAGTCCAGATTTAAACCCAGTTCAGATTCTGTGGTGAGACTTTAAAAAGGCTGATCATGTCTGATAGAACCAGTTTACTTTTCCACAGAGTGCCAGGTTGGTTTGGAAAGATTTTTGTTCACTTAATAAACATAAATAACATTTTGATATCTTTGTTTGGTATTGAAATTTAGTTGATGATGTGAAACAAAAACCAGAAGAAATCTGTAAGGAAGCAATTTACTTTTTAACAGCTCTGTAATTAAGACTGGAACGTTCATATTTATCCAGAAAATAAATTTGCTCGAGAAAAAGATTTAAAAAAAAAAAAACATTCTTATTTTTTGTGACTCCGACTTGACAACAAGAGACAATAAGCGTAAGGATTTCTGTCTGCAGAATGGGAACATCTCTGGTTTATCGCTAACGTTTCTGAGCATTTTGCGCATAAACAAAGAGTGACGCACAAAAGTAGGATGAGGTAAACAAAGTTTTAAGACTGAGTAGGAGTAGGAGTTTCTCAAGAAAAAAACAAACTAAGCTCCAAGCCCAATTGCACACACTTAAATCTTTGCAAATATTTTAGACTGCATGTCAAATTGCAATAAATAGTGTCGCGGTAAACAGCTCAGCAACGAGTGCCTTTTCGTGCAGCATGCGAAGCATTTGTTACAGTAAGCTGTAAAGAGGAAGATAGTGCACTAAATCCTTCACACGGTACATATACACTCATTTTTTCCATGATATTTAATTAGAAACCAGGAAGCAAGGTCCTGTTCAACCCCCACTCCAGCATCCACGTACCTTGAGTGAATACTAAGAAGCAACTCAGGCACAGGTCCAATTCAGAATGTATTGTGTGAACCCCCATGGCCCATCAAAGGCAGTGTGCACAACCATGAAAGGGTGATTGGGCTGGAGGTGCGCAGGGAATAGTGTTTGAAGTTTTCCTTCTATATCAGAGAAAGAGAAAAAGGCATTTATAATCCTGTGGGATTGCTAATCACCATGGGCTAAAAAAAAAAATAGAAAGAAAAGAAAACAGGGATGCACTCAGTCTCTCTTAACTCTTCCACAAGTGCTGGAGGAAAAAGGGTGAAGAAAGAGGAATAAGGAGCTGCGGGGTGCTAGCAGGGGAAGGAGGTGGGGGTGGAACAGGAGGGTGGATGCTGGAAACTGAGGTAAACAGAGGAGGAAAGCAAGGGGCTTTAAACATGACCGATTCGTCTGGATAATCTCGGTCATTAGCCTCTCCTGCTGGCATCATTAATGCACAATTAGGAGGCGTCACGTGCGTCGACGAGGCATCAAATCATTTCTAAACACGTCCTGCAAAGGACGGAAGCAGAGACTTCCAATACAGTCCAATGACAGAAGGTAACGGGTACCGTTCTCCCCGTAAACAACACGAGGTAAATGTAGCGGGAAAAATCCACATCTACTTCTCATCGAGCCGGAAAAAGACGCATAGTGAGATTCAGAGTGTGTGCAAAGCAGCTAGCAGCTTGTATTCCTGACAGCTGGAGAGGGATGCCAGCAAGGGAAACTTCCGCACAGTGTGATGCTGCCATTGGCACTGATTAGAGCTTCTTTTCCTAAAGGGATGCTTCATGTTTTGTGCCAACAACTTTCCCTTTAACTCTGCAGTCATGTTCACTAAATTAGAATATTCAAGTGAGGCTCACATGTCAAATTAGAAGCACCTTTTGAAAAATAACGACCTTTAAAAACATTTTAAAGGTTTAATCTGTTGCTTAATGTTTAATGCTCTCTATACAAAACATTGTTTTTATTGGAACGATGCACTAATCTCATCCTAAATGTTTTTCATTGCCTGCAAGTGAAAAAAAAAATCATTATAATTAACAAAACTAAGGACTCTAAATAATGCTTTTCACGAAATGAATAAAAACAAAAGCACAAACAAGCCCACCCCCACAGCATGATGCTGCCACCACCAGAAAACATTCTGACCTTTTAATCCTCCACTTAGACGGATTTCAGAGCAGCTAGCATGTCTTGTTCTCCTGACAGATGAGAAAAGATGCTCATGAGACACCCGATGCCGTTTAGATAGCCGCTCACAAAGGAAAGAATTATAATTGGAAGTGCGTGTGCAGAATATATTACGTGTGTAAATGTTGTTGAGCCCCACGATTTGCCAGGAAAAGGTCACACACTCCCCTCGACCCTAAGTGTTTCGCTCTTTGTGTACTTGAGGTTAAAAACAGAGAGAGAGAGAGAAAGAGAGAGAGAGAGAGAGAGAGAGAGAGAGAGGGGGGAACTGCGCCTATAAACTCCGCATTTAAAAGGCAAGTACGGCCGATGGGGGGGCCTGCTGCATGACAGGGAACAATGGCAGCTTTTTGGACACACTTTTTCTCACTGCGATGAACAGCAGGGAAACCGGTAGAGGCTCCTATAAAAGACCGATAGAGCACAGCTGTCAGGGTTGAACGGTAATTTTATAAAATGTCTCAGAGGGGCCTGCCTGTGGATTTATGGGAAACTATAAGAGGACGAGCACATTTCCAGGAGGCAACAATCAGAGGGTCCTTTAAATGGGTGACAACTAAAGATTTTAGCTCGTTTATAAAAAAAAAAAAAGTTAACAGGATGCAGAGAGGGAGGAAAGTCTTAATGTTGTGATTTCAACGCGCGTTTTCTCTCTGTAAAACATAAACGTGGGAACAAGGAAAAAGTTTGACCCTGGCTGCTAAATATTCTGCCCCATCATCATTACCACCATCAGCATCACCATCATAAAAACTAACTGGCCATTTAGGAGCTGTTTGCTCCTGATTGACGTGGGTCCTGATTATTGATTATTCAGATTTGCACTCGATCCCTATTTGACAGCCACCTCTAAGCAAGTTCGTTCGGCTTGTTTTAAGGAATGTAAAAATATGGAAAAAGAAAAAGAAGGAGCAACTCCGCTGTCCAAGCTGTCCCAGGTCCATTTTACGCACAAGGACGCACATTTGGAGACGCATTTGCTAGCTACTTACGCTCCGAGGCCATGGTGATCACGGACTCCGTCGTTGCGTGGTACTCGTCCTCCTCCATGAACTCGTCCTGGGCTGAGGCGTCTCCCTGGAAGTCGTGGTGGTCCAGGAGCTGCTGAAGCGGGGGCGCCTTGGGCAGCAGCTGGTTGACCACCTCCCGGCTGATGTTGGGCGCCTGTTTCAGGCGCAGCTTGCTCAGGATCTGGGACTTGATGGTCTCCAGCCGCAGCACCTTACTTTGCTCCCTCCAAACGCAGGCGGAGCACTCGTGGGAGCCAGCGTCCTCGTCCAGCAGAGACAGCCCCGCGTCCGTGGGCGGCTCGCTGGCAGGAGGCAGCAGCAGATTGGGCTCGTCGCTCCCTGACAGTCCCAGGAAGATGAGCGCCAGTAAGCATGGGAAGAAGTTGTACCTCGGCATGATGATGGAGGAAACTTTTTTCCGCTTCTTTTAGTTGATTTATTCCTCAATATATCCTTTCGGGTCCTTGTCTCAGCCTAAAAAAGCCTCCGAATCATTGACACGCATCTAATCCACAATCAGCCCGAAGTGGGTTGCTTTTTTTTTCTGCAGCAGTAGGTTCTGAAATAAAGTTTTCAACAACAAAAAAGTGCGTTCCAGTGTGTGACCAGCTCTTTTTGATTGAAAGGTAAATTATCTGCTTGATGAATGCATAGCCAGCTCACTTGCAGCGTATGACGGTCGCTGTGGGGTCCCCGTGTGCAATGTAGTCCATGGAGGTGTGTGCATGTGCAGAAGTGTCACTGAAAAAAAAAATGTGCAAGTGCGGTCAAAAAGGGGCTCTTTATATATCTCAGCAGCTCGGTGTCGTAATCCGTCTCCATTGGCTAAGATTGCAACAAAAGGCTTTTAGGTCTGTCACCAAGTCAAGAGGGACAGAGCGAAGGGAGGGAGGACGCGCTGTTATGGGAGCATAAATGTTTTACAGTTCACAGGCAATGCACCTACATTAGAAATATTGGCCAATTAAGGCATTAGAATAACGAGTGGCTCAAGCTCCGCGCGTTGCTGCTTTTTTAAATGGAGTGCATTGAATATGAGCTGAATGAATGGGCTTATCTTGAATTCACCAGATCTCACAAATGACATGAGTATTTATGGTGCATTTAAAAAAAATAAAAATAATCTGCCTGCGCATTCTTCAGTTGTCTCCACTGGAGCATTTTGCACATATTGGTTTAATCACGTTAACGGAAAGTGGGGGTATTTATGCAAAAACACTAAAATTAAAGATAAATACTTAACAAAAAAAAATGACATTAACCAGTCTCCAGCAATAGACATATAGGAGCAAATGCTTAATTAATTTTAAAAAGAAAAAACATTTAAATGAATAAAAAAACAACAATAAAAAATAGTTTTTCAGCTCCAACTTATAATAGATTTCTATTACACCCAACCCTGTGAAAATGACTTTGGTCAGAAAAATATGTTTAGTGTTATAATTGTTTATATCTTGGTGTCTGCGGGTGTTTTGGTAAAAGTTTCTATTCCAGAAACATGTTACCTCTTGTAACAGTTTCCTGTGCTGCATTTTTGACTCAACACTGCCACCTGCTGGTTCAAAATGACAGCTGCAGCTTCTACGGCTTCGTTTTCACTCCTTTCACAATAAATATACATCGGAACATCGTCAAAAAGTGAATTTATTTTAGTTTTTTCGTTAAAAACGTTATATTCATGCATGATGTAGAATCTTTACTCTCAGAAGGAAATATTTCAAGCATTTTAATTATGATTAAAATATAATTCCCCTTTTGAGAAAATTAAAACATCACATAAACAATAGAAAATACATATTTGATACAGAAATGTTAAGTTACAGCTTTTACGGTTATATTTCAGCCACTCATATCTTCGATAAGAAGTGTCTGCCACAGGAGATCATTGCTAAAGAAGCTGGGTACTCACAGAGAAACACAAGCACAGTGTTGGAAAGTTGAGTGAAAGGAAAAAGTGTGGTAACTGTATGTTTCAGAGAAAAGTGATTAACTTTCTTTGCATTTCAGCTGGAAATCAAGGTCTGGCAGAAGACTGAAGAGGTACAGTAATTCAAGCTGCGTGTTACTTTCTTGCTAAACCTGCTTTAATGATTATGGTATCACTGTGGCTAATTACCCCACAAACATACCTGCCCTAAACAGAAAATCTACACAGAATGGTCTGGCACAGAGACCTGCAATCTTTACAACCATTAGAGCAAATTTTGCCTTTAGTTACAAAATTTGTTTAGAACCACAAAAGCAACATGACTCTTTGAAACAAAATAAGTTGTTTTGCAATACGAAAGATTTTTAAGTTGAAAAACAAAAAAATATATATTCCTAGGTTCAATATTCTTGTAATAGATATTAAATTTCACAGAACATGACATCAAAAAGAGAAAGTAGTTTGCAACCTGCAGACAAAACTTCATATAAAAATAATGTTTCTTACTCTATTCGTGTCACTCCTGGTGAAAATGCTACATTTATATTGCAAGAAAACACCAAAGAAATACTGCACAACTTAACATTTTCAAAGTTATTAAGAACCACATCGGAGGGTCTAATAAGCTACAGGTAGCAGACCTCTGGTATAGTGGAAGAGACAGACAGTAAACTCCGAAATGCAAATGAGCTCACAGCCAGTATTAATGTCAGGAGAACCACCAGCTGATCCCCTCCATACCGATCCGCACTGATGCAGTAATTCATGCAAAAGGAGTGAGTGACACCAGTAAAGTGATACATTTCTGAAGGCTGGGACTCTGTACTAAAACTAATTTCGTTTGATACTTTTCTGAGGACGCTGAATTAGCTGTAAAGCCATAGTCAAATGAACTGACACAAAGAAAAGACCTGAAACACACCACCCAGAACAAAATGTCAGAAATAAATAAACAAACCTTTTAGTTATTCAGTGCATGTTTAAGGCATCAAACTCAACTAACACGTGGTAAACTTGGGCAATAATTAATTTCACCACGCACTCAGAGCTCGTCATGTGCTCGCTTGAACTATAAAACAAAGCCAAATTTTAAAAACCTCAATCGTAAAGCATTAGAGGAGGCGTGGCGTTTTAAACTGTTTGGTCCCTGCGGCTTCCTGTAGTCAACAGCCTGGGCGTCGCTGCGCTGCTCCTGCTGCTGCGTAGAAACCAAACACCTCACAACAGTCCAGACCAGCGCCATTAGAGCCGCGGGCGTCTCTTGTATAAAGAAGAAGTCGATATAAAGTGTGGAAAAAAATGCACTCGGCCGCACTGGACAGCAGTGGTTCTCCGAGGAAGCGGACTGTTTCTCGGGGAATGAGCGAGGATGAGTCCCTGCGCAACATCATAAAGGAGGTGAGGGGAAAAATCACGGCGACGGCGTTAATGTTTAATGACAGGGCTAAAGCTGCTGTTCAGTGCTGCGGTTACAACCGATTAACACAATGAAATACGACAAGATGAGCATTACGTGCTTATTAGACTGTGTGATAAAACAGCAGCTAGCTAAATAAAATATAGTGTTTGATTCTGGCCTGTAGCTGCGCGTCACTTCCCCATTACTAGCTAATTTAGCCTGCAGTGTTTTGGTTGAGGCTGATTGTGATGCTAACTCTTGTGTTTCTTTCAGACGGACAGCTCCACCAGACGGCTGCCCCGGAGCGACAGCAGGACGGGAACCCTGAGGAAGAGGACTGACAGCCAGGTGGGAGATTAATGCGCTGCCATGGTGTCCTCCACCCGCTATTTGTCATCTTCATCATTGCAACACTAGGATTAAAATTACGGAGCGTCAGCAATGTTTTGACACGTTGTAACCTACGTTTAAGCAATATTTAATCCCTTTCTGCATTGTAGGCATCTTCTAAAAATATCCAAACTGTGGTACAGGTTCAAAACAGCTTTTATGTAGTATTTCTTAAAAAAAAAAAAATCGGTATAGAATATATTTATTTAAATTATTAACTGTCTAGAAATAATTCAAAACATCCTTAACACTCTATTGTGTAAAGCACGTGTGTCAAATTCAAGGTTGGGGGGCCGAATCCGGCCCACCATAGCTATTTATGTGGCCCTAGAGACACATACAGAGCTCTCAAGAAAACAATTGTGTGCCTACATATTATTATTATTATTATTATTATTATCTAGCAAGATTGAGATACACATTAATCTAAATCCTTGATATCTGGCGTTTTAGTTACTTCTTTACCCACTGGCATATGAGATTTGCGTTGCATTTAGGAGCTCAGTGAAGTCCAGTCTGCAAATTTCCTTGCTATGTAACATTGTCACGAATCAAATAAATGGCTTATTACAGGAACTGAGTAAGCCATTTACTCAGGATGGAAATCACAAATAGTCACAATGAATGTTGTGTTGGAGAAAGGATGCATCTAAAATTTGCAGGATAGTTCCTCCTGAGGATTGAACTTTGCCACCCCTGTTCTGCAGTAAAGTGTTAGTGGTATACAGCAAAGTGGAAGTGACTGAGAACAACAGCAACTAAGCCACAAGGTGGTAAGCCACATAAAGTCACGTAGCAGGGACAGCTGACTGTGAGGACCGTATTTTGCGGAGCTCATCAACTTTTTGTACAGGCAGATCTCCAAACTTCATGTGGCTTCCAGTTTCTTCCAAACCTTGTAGCACCAAGTACGTTGCAAAATGTCATTTGTAATAGCTAATTTTCCCACTGTAATAACTAGTAGTTAATTGATGAGTGAAGTGGAGGTCGCCGCTGAAAGTCAGGAGGTGGAGGTAGAAAACAAAGCTTTTGTCCTCTCACTCTGCCACCCTGCAGCTCACTCTGCAGTCCAGACCTACTCTGTAGGGATGCACCGATTTATCGGTGCCAATTTCCCTAGTTTTGGGAAATCGGCTGATTTTTACATGTGAAGCTGATCTTAACCACCCATTTTATCTACCTCTGCAAAGATATTTAAATCAACCGTTCTCTTCTTCTGCTCTGCTGTCAGAGAGGTTTGAGTAGCAGACCGGCCCACCGGATCAGGTCTATATGCAGTTAACAATAGTCATCTCACTGTTGGCAACTTGTCAACTTTCTTGCTACGTTTAACAACATTTTAGACAAAAAAAAAAATTCGGAATCAGCAGGTCAGGAATTTAATAGCTTGGTAATCGACCAGAAAACTGCAATCAGTGCAGTCCTGCTTCTCTGTGTTTAAGTTTTAGTCCAGAGTTGGTTTGATAGACAATATGCAAGTAAAGAATTAATCAATTAATTGGATGATTGATTAAAATGAGTTCAATAATGTCCATGATGATATTTTTTGAAGGGGAATTTTGTTTATAGAGACTTAATAATCCATTTTATTCATGGTTTTGGTTGTTGCGTTTTACTTTGGAAGTTTAAAATATTCTCCAGTTCAAATAATAAAGAAATAAAATGTTTATTGGTTGCATTATTGTGTCATTATCAATACATATTTGAAAATGCTCTCAAAACAGCAATATTACTGTTTATGTCAATAATTTCCGGGACAATTTATCGTCTAGGAAAAATTTGTTATCACTACAGGCCGATTTATACAGCTGGTTTCTTTTTTCTAATCTGTGTGAACATGGTCTGTAAAGTAACAAATATTCTGTATTTCTTTCTTTCAGCAGTCCGACCAGGACCTCTTCATGGGACTCCCAGATATGGTGACTCTTATTCCTACTGTCTTAAGAAAAATGAAAGCCGCTTAAAAACCTGGAGTGATTCTAAAAACATATTTCTGAAACATATGGAGCAACATAAGGCCTCCCGCATAGGGTTGGTCTCCTCTGAGAGCTTGTTGAGCCGTCGCTCTACCTTGGACTGTGGCGTGCGTTCTGCTGAATTCGCCCGCACTGATTCGTGATTGCTGTGTGTGTGTGTGTGTGTCGCAGTTGGAGCTGCAGGCCAGCTACGATGAGGCGGTGCAGGAGCTGCGTGGGCTGGAGGTCGAGCGAGAGGCTCTGTTGTTCCAGGTGGACGTCTTGCAGGACTCTCTGGAGGGCGTAGAGGAGCTGCTGGCCGAAGCCCAGAGGGAAGCTGGACAGGCCGGTTTGGTGAGGCCCAGCTTTTGGGTCCTGGCTGTATTAAAACAAGCCGCGCGTCGCCTTGTTACGCTGGTTTCTCTTTATTTGTAGGCACTGGAACGCGAGAGAGAGGAGAAGAGGAAACTGGAGAGCCTGGTTTGCTCTCTGATGAAGGAGGTGGAGAGATTAAAAGAGGTAAAACAGGAAGTGAAAGGAGAACTCGGTGTAATGTCGGAGAAGTACTGCATTGACAGATAAAGGGTTTGAATATTTAAATGCCTACATGCATAAAAATATGATTTATGTATGTAAGCAATCAGATTTTTTAGTAAAGATTTTGTATAGTGGATGTTTTCAAACCTTTTTCCAACCACAATTAGGAAGAGACACTGAAGTATAGTAAATGCTCTTGAATAAATAGATATGACAAGTAGACTGTCCTCTCTATTTATAGATACGTTGTTACAATAAATGACTTTTTTCTCTGTAGAGCAACACTGTGTCCTCTAGTCCTGTGTGACTCTCTTCTCTGCAGCTCCACACAAACATTTTCTATAAGATTAAAATCTGGCACAGTTAACTATATCTAGGTTTCTATTCGTGTTGTTATTTATTTTACTGGTTGCCTCTTTTTAAAATTATTATTTTATTCACGGTTTCCCACAGGAGCCTTTTTAAGCCTGGTGGTCGGAGCGCAGGCCAGTCATTCACTGTCTTTGGTGTTTTTGAGTTAAAAATGTTTCAAATTGACAGGAAATTTGAAAATATCACTAAGTAGTTATGTGTTTTTGGAAGACTTTATTAGCAATATCTAATAAACAAATTTTGCTTAGCCTGGCGGCCCACCAGGCTTAAAATATACTGAGGGAAACCCAGTTATTTTATTTTTAATCAAACTTAATTTTATTATGTTGTAATTACTGTGAAGCATTTTAGTCAGCTGAGGTTGTCGTAAATGTGCTGCAAAAATAAACTTTGACTAAATGAAAAGCTTTTTACATACCTTTTTCATTCATATGTACATAATTACTAAACTCTCAGATTTACCTTCTTGAGACGGCAATTTATACAAAGAGCTTAAGATTTAAGAACATTAAAACATACACTGAAGTGACAGCTACTTACTAGAGTAATTTCTCCTCTTCTCAGGAGGCAACCAGCCACCATAACGAAGAGAGAGACTCCCTGCTGTGTGAACCTTGCAGCACCAAGCTTGCCAACGGCGGGGTGGCGGGTCCAGAGGAAGGGGGACGGACAGCAGGGGGCGTTCTCACAAAACCGCGACGGATGGTCAACCAGCTCCCGGCCCCGCTCCGGTCTCTATCGCTGGACGGCGTCGTCGCCACCGACGGCGTTCTCCAGAGGCCGTACGACAGCCACCGCCAGGACGGGCGGGATCCATCTCCTGACAGGAACGACTCGGACAAAAGTGCCTACGAGGATGCGTCTGCCGAGACTCCGGAGCAGGACCGGACCTTTCCCGGGGACGGAGACCTGCCTCACGATTCAGAGGACAAAGGAAAATGTCCAGCTGACGACAGCCAGACCCAAGACTCCGCCAACCCGGACGCCTGCGTTTTGTCTTAAATTCATCTGACTTTAAAGGTGAACCTTTTTCTTTTTTTTCTTTTCTCGTCTGGTAAAATACAAGAGCTTTTCCTTTATAATTATCATCAGAGAGAACTTTGATCTGAGCTGATTAAATAAATCAAAAACATTTCATCAGCTGCGTTTTCCACTGAATGTTTACCGTTTCAGTTGCCCTTTAAGCTAGATTGCCAAACATTTCCTAAAAAGGCAAGAATGAGCTTTTTCTTTGTCGCATATCGAGTCATTCGGTCGTCACGATTTTTAACTAAACGGATACTTTTCCTTCGGCGTTATTTATAATTTTGTTACCAAATCGCTGTAGTACGTATTCACTACAAAAAAAAAGCTCAGGTTTGCCATGTGAAACCCACAGACTACATTTATGTTAGTTGCCGAGAACAATGCCGAAGTCGGCCTTTGCTTCTTTCGACGGGGATAAAGAGGGAAAACTGCTGAGATATTTGTCATCCGGATTTATCTGTATCCAAAACTCTGCAGGAATCCAGACGTGGACTGTTGCCGTTTTGGTTTTACTGTCTCATTTCAAAATAGACCAATTCTTTTTACTTGAAGCAGATTTACGGCGTTTGTCTTTCCATTTGATGCTCGGTGCGTCATTACTAGGGATTTTTAAATTATGGTTAAAAACACCATCTAGATATACTTTTCAGTCTTAAGATATTTTTATACGGTCCCTTTGATATGTTTTTGCTCTGAAGGTTTTTAAAAATATGGTTGCATTTGCACTTTTTTTTTAAGGTCAGACGTTTGTCAGACTACAACAGCAACAACGTTCCTTTCACAGCCGAACGCGTCCTCTGAGGTGCAGCAGGATAAACGAATACAGTCTGTCTACATGGAAACAATTACATGTTTGCACTTTTCTGTGGATCTTGCTGTTTGGACGTCTCTTGTTGCTGTAAACTATTTTTACGTCACATTTCTCTTCAGTGCTTAAGGCAACTGTAAGCCGGTCTGTGTCTTTTGTGATGCATGAACACAAACATAGTCACTATTTTATGAACTGCAAGTGAAATGATTCCTGTACTTTTTGCACGAAGTACTTTAATACATATTATCTAATATGTCACTTAGCACACCGTTTGTTTCACGTTTTTCTTTCCAAGATCGAGGACAAATTATGAACGCTTGAAACATATCACGGTAGATTAACGTAAAAATGCTCCTAATGAGACAATACTAATGAATTCATGGATATCAACGGTGCATTCAGCTGCATTCAGCAGTCATGTTGTCAAGCTGCAAAGTATTTGCCTTTGCAATGTTTATTCTTCACCCGAATGCTGACTCACGCACTAATACTTGACTGTTTATCGTTCTGGTTGCCAAGATACACAACATAATCAACCAGCTCTGATGCCTTGATGAGGTTTGTCCTTCTTAAAATGTCTGTAAGTGCTGTCTCGTCGGAAACAATCTAGTTCTATCAAATAGACCTTAAAATAAACAGTTCTCTGGTTCTGGTCGTTGTTTATCAAGAGCAATGGATCCTTTAAATGGTGCCGCCAGACTTTCTGTTCTGAACAATTTTAAAAATACTCTTTTTGTTTGTTGATGTTTGATTTCAATACAATGCAAAAAAAAAACAAAAAACAAACAAGTCCTTACTGTATCTTAATGCCTTTTTTGGGGTTTAATATTTTTGTCATTTTCTTAGCTTTTAAATGTTTTGCTGTCGAAATAAAGGATGATTTATATGAAAATAAACTGACGTTGACATGCCGTTTGTGTTTATATTTATTCAACATTCAGCTGGAATATTAGAAATACTTTCACATGAAGCTTGATTTCAGTTTGGAGGCCGAAAAAGGAAACTAAATATGCTGCGTTGATAATAAGTGTTTAGTTAACTTGGCATAAAGAATATGAATGATACTGAAAGTAACCCTGTGCAGACTAGTGAGTAATGCAAAATGAGCAAGAAATATAAACACATTCTCATGAAGATGCTGACAGAATAAATAAACTTTCAGTAAAACTTGTTTCAGCATTTGTCCAACAGATGACAAAGCTGGCTCACAGCTTCTTCGCTCTCGGGTTTCATTTAAATAAATAAATAAATCTTGGTGCCTCAATAGAAACACTTTTCTTCCATTTTGAGAATGTAATCGAAAGTTTTTTGTCTGGTATATTTTATTGGCATTCCTGTTGAAACATAAAAATGCCTGAATTAAAATTATATTTTGAGGCAAAATGTTACTGTTAAACATAAAAATTATAATTTTAGTTTTCTAATCAGTTAAGGAGAAACCTCATATCAAAATCATTAGTGGTAAAATTGTTTTTGCCTCAGAAAAGTGTGGGAAAAAATGTCCCACTGTACAAAAAAAAAAAAAGAATATACACTGCTCAAAAAAATAAAGGGAACACTCAAATAACACATCCTAGATCTGAATGAATGAAATATTCTCATTGAATACTTTGTTCTGTACAAAGTTGAATGTGCTGACAACAAAATCACACAAAAATCATCAACGGAAATCAAATTTATTAACCAATGGAGGCCTGGATTTGGAGCCGCACACAAAATTAAAGTGAAATGTTCCCTTTATTTTTTTGAGCAGTATATATTTATTTATTTAAAAAGTTACTTGTTATAAATATCCGATTTTTGCCCAGATTGCACAAGTTTAGCTTTCCTGGGACGAATACTAAGTGGAAAAACATTAAGTCCTGATTCAAGTTTCACACAGAATACGAAGACAAAGACGAGGACTTGTGGAATATTCTTATTTGGCCGTCAGAGCAGAAGCATAAAATAAATTACAGCATTCCAGGAAACAAACCTCGTAACAACAAACCGTAAAGCACGGAGGTGGAAGTGTCATGATCTGGGAAGACTTTGCTGCAGCAGGACACGTCTACCTCTGAGGAGACTGGCACATGAGTCCTAATCTTTTCCTATTTTTTAAAATAATTTGTTTAATGATTGAAACAAAATCTAGATGTTTACCTGTGAGTATATAACTTTATTTTCTAAAGATAAAAAAGTTATACTAGACTTCTAAGCATTTCCCAACAAAAAGTTATTATTTATCTGACTTATCTTAATTTTTTGTGTGGCTATGCAATCAGAAAATGACAAATAAATCCAATAAAAAAGTTTTAAATGACTGGAACTGTTAATTTTGCCACCAAACACAGTCAGGAGGGGGGGAAATATCCACAGCTGTTAGAAATGTTGCACATTGTTAACACGGGCGCCAATAATTATAGAGCGAACTGCATTCAGAGAACTCAACATTATCATGTGTGAATTTAGCAATAATCTTTCATTAAAAAAGTAGGATTGAAACATAGTAAAAACGATTCACCATCAAAAGAATAAAATCTGATTTCTAAGTCAAAATAAGGGGTAGAAAACCTTTTGCTGTTAATATTTTGAACACAAAGACTTTGATCAAAACAAGCCTTTCTCTTTCTTCAGTTTCAGCTGTCTCCACTGCGGCAGGCTCACAAACTTATCTTTGCTCAAACCAAATACGCTGGCGAAGTCGGCGTCAGACAGGTGCTTCTGAAAAACAAAACAAAAAAAGAAACTGGGCGTAAAGGCCTGCTCTTTGAAGAAACAGAAAATGCTTTGGTTGAGTAATACTCAAAAGCAAAAATATTTAATATTCAGGGGGATTCATAATAGGAGGAGATCTTCATCTTCATGTTTAGAGACTCTTAGGTTCAATACTGAAGCACAGTGAAGCTGTTCTAGCAGCGTGTTGCTTTCCTCCACTAAACTTTCCTCTCTGTCTGTTCACCTGACAAGCACCAGCGAACTCACACACCTCTTTCGCGGACGGGTCCACACCTTCAGGCAGCTCGTCAGGTTGCTTGTTAATCAACATGTCGGGTGGGAAAGGCTGAAAGGTTTTCTCCGCCTCAGCATTTTCCTCCTGGAAAATACCAGCGTGCTCAGACTGTGATTCATGATTAGCTCACATCATCAGGGAAATGCATTTTCTTTTTCCTGTGTAGCAGAAAGGAAGATGAATTGCTGTTTTAAAAAAGAAGCACAGTCTTGACTCGTGCTCCTGGCAGCTTGCTAAGCTTCCCTTCAGCTGGAATTTTTCTCATTTCATCACCTTACAGCCACAAACTTCAGTGGGATTTTACTGCAGCACGAAAATGTGAAATGCTGCCGTCACAGTCTGTCAGCTTTTCACAGCTACAAGCTGCGCTTCCTGTCAATTTGGTGTTGCGACTTCGCTCACACTCAGTCAGAACGAATGGAAAACATCTGTGAACTGTTCTCTGAACTTTGGCTAGGCCATTCTAACACCTGCATACATTTTAATCAAAACGTTGCTATTGTAGCTCTGGCTCAGTTGTTAATGTCATTGTCCTGCTAGAAAGCGAGCCTATAAATTATCCGATCAATTCTGTTTCTGTCCCTGCTGAAGAAAACAAACTGCACAGCATGATGCTGCCACTACCATATTTTAGGGTGAATAGCAGTGTAATCTTTTCGCAAGTTGCCACTTCTTTCTTAGATATTTTTAAATATTGTTTGTTTCCTTTTAACTCTTCTTCCAGTTTCTTTTTAAAGTCTGTTTGGCTGTGAACACAACAGTTTGACCTCAGTCACATGAAATGAGTCTAGATTTTGCTTTTTTTTTTTTTTTTTTTTTGGGGTTTGGGGAAAAAATCCCAAAAAAGTTTGCCAAAAAGTTTGGCCAGCATGCTGGCCAAAAAGTTTCATCTGATTTGGACGCCTTCTACAATTATCACAAAATGAGAAAAAGCTTAAGAGATATAAATACTATTGCTTGTTGCCATATAATCAATAGATTCAGGTCTAGAAAAAGAAAACTAAATGTTAGTCTTGTCCAAATGAAAACCAAATTATTTGTATTTTCTATTATAAGAAATGCATAATGAACTTCAAAAAAGAGATGTTCTTGTTTATGCTGCTAATTTAGTTTAACTATTGTCATAAATGCAGCTGCTACTTCTCTGTTGCACATAAAGTTTTAGAGAAATGGATTAACGTACAGTTTGCAGAACAATGGGTGTCAGGTCTTCTCCCAGCTCTTTCTTCAGTTCTTCATAGCTCTTCCCTCCCTAAAACACAAAAGAAGAAAAAAATCCCAATCTATTTTTAGATTTTAAATACTGTATTTTTCGGACTATAAGCCGCTACTTATTTCCCACGCTTTGAACCATGCAGCTTGTAGCCAGTGCGGCTTTTCTGTGAATTTTTTCTTCAACCGACAGGGAGCGCTTTAGCAGGAAGTGAATTGGTTTAAACTTTAAACAGTATACTGTTTAAAATGGGGAAACGCCCAATAGGTAATTGTGATTTTTGTTTTCAAGAAGAGAC